AAACGAGTCACTTGTTGGCGACTGCCATGCTCAAGGACAGGGGTGACACTTGCCAGCAGCTGCTCGTAAACAAAGCTAGCAGTCGACGCCACTTTGTCCATGGCCCGCTACCAGGTTAAATGCTCAGCATTGACATTGTTGAAGCAATTATATATTAAGTTTGATTTGGCAAATTGAAGTCAGCGCTGGTAGCCACTGGAGGTGTCAGCGTTCCTTAAGTTCTCAGCGCAAATTATGTTCTTAGTACCTTGTTCTTAGTCCAGTGTCCCTAGTCTTGGGATCACTTTGATCTTTTAGATAAGAGGCTTTCAGCTGAGAGTGAAACTACAGCCGCAGCGGCCCGGTTCAAGTTTTCATGCGAGTTTGCCACCTTCCTTGTCTATCCCATGTCTTCCCGAGACTCCTCATCTATTTTTTGCATGACATAAAACTAGGTGTTTCATGTACCTTTGCTGAAGTGCATCCAATGCACACCCTATTAAAAATAGATCTAAATTTGATTGCTCGGTAACCTCAAAGAAATATAAGTTTTTTCTCCCCGAACCCCGGGGAGGTTGTGCAATTTGAGAGTGACAGCCCCTCAAAGAATCGAAAGGTACACTGTAAAACTCGATGCTTCTATGCTTCAGCGGGTGGCTTGTGAGCGTGCGGCAGCAACTCCATATAGGGTTCAGTTTTGCTGCGCCTCTTTGGCGGGCAGCAATGATTCCTCAAGGAATTTAGTTTTTGACATGCAAAAGCCGAGCCGAAGAAACCACGCTGCTGCAATTAAAGGCTGGACGCCGATGGTCCCAACAGAAGCTGGCTGATTTGCTGATTCACCTTTGAGCTCTGTTTGCCTTCACTTCCGTAAGACTGAGCACACCTACCTACCCCGCAAGTCCTGTAGAACTCATCGTCCGCTAGGCTGCGAGGTGTGTATCTCAGCAGTTCAACCTCACCGCCTCAGCTCCCAAAATCCCAAGCAGTTCACCGGCCGGTCTGCTGCAGCTGCCCAGGCACCGAGCGGCGCCAAGAGCTCTTGGAGCTGCCCTACCGCGGCCACCAAGGGCATGCAATCATCCTGGCCGGGGCCGAACAAGCTATGGCATTGGAAGGGAATGGAACGACCTATATAGATCCTCCTGGAAAACGAAATGCCTCGAAACACCTTATACTCCATCAGTCTTCACCAAGTACTTTACGTCTCCTTGCGCGGGACACCACACCTTGCGGTCAATTCCATCACCATACTGCGCTCCTGCGGTGGCCCCTCCGTGTAGAACGTCACCACTGTGAGTGCTTTGCATGTCTTTGACATCGATGAGGTGGCAGAAGTGGTGGTTCCCTGCCTCAGCGCAAGCTGTCCCACAAGCACGCTCCTATTCTCCGTGGGAGGTACGAGTAGAAAGGTGTGAGAAAGCATGCAGCAAGAAGGCACTTGTCTAAGCCTCTTGATCATTGCGTCTACTGGCGTCTGCACTGAAGCAGTAAATCATACCACAGGAATCCGTTTTCCATTTCGCAAATTGCCTAGAATGGGAAGCGTTGGCAAGTGAAGGCCAAATATTGGATTGGTGCCAGCAACCCGCCCAATGCTTCAAGCTTTCCCTTTCAACGCTGAAACGATGCTTGTCACGTGTCACCCAGCGGCGTGGCCGGCACCTTGGAGCACTCCTGCGGATGATGCAAATGGATCAAACATGCTTGCTTCGATGTTGTCCCTGATATTTTGTCTGTTTTGATCTGTTTTGGTTTGTGCCGCTTGAGCCTTTCCCTTATGCCGTTAGTGATGCCTTCAAAGATGGTAATATTTTCGGCTATAGTCCTTGTCTAGACATGTTTATATAGTGTGTGTGTGTGTGCGTCCTTGTGCAAAAACCTTTGACATAGTTAATATATGTTTGGCAATTGTTGGAAATGACGGAGGCAACGGTTTTTCAAGAAGGTTCTGGTGAAGCAGTGAGAGTTCACCCAAAAAAGATTGAGTCCAAAAAGGGTGGAACCGACATCGTGACTGCAAAACCACATCAACCAAGCGTAGACCGGGGACTCATTTGCACGACCATGCTGATTGGGATCTAGAATCGAGAAAGGCAAGCGGCAAATCGCTATTGCTGCAACTTTCCAAGAGCCAGCCCTTATTGACTCATGGTCCTTTCTCTACGGCAGAAATTCCCGTCAGCTTTCGCCAAACAACTCCACAAAAAAAGGACCGGCCCCTGTGCCTCCGTGGGCACCTTGCCCCTGACGCAACATGGCCGGGTGTCAAACGACGACCACATGTCAGGGTGTGCGATATGGGGGGTTTCCACACGTGGGTGCATCCACCAAAGTGAAACATGAGGATCGGAAACAAAACAGGAAAATCAAACCATCGAAGAACAAGCACAGAAAGCAGCTACAAACAGTCCGGGGTGTCAAGGTGTAAGGTGTGCAGCTGTTCACAAAACGGAGTCAGGCCTGCTGTCCAGCATCGGCGCCCCCAGATTCTCCTTGGCAACACAAGAGCGGTCTCCAACCTAGATTAGGTAGTGGATGGTAGTGGCACCAGTAAATCTACATACAACATATATAACATAAATGAGCAACAAAAAACGGGTCCATTGTCGCGGAGCGGGCTGCGCCATGAAAAGTAGGGCCGAAGAATAGTCGTGACAATTTGAGGTCAAATGGCATGAACTAAAGCCACCAGCTGGCGATAGATAAGATTGTGTGTGTGGCAATGTTGGGAAGATCGTGGAAGATCCATTCTCATGGCATGTTTAATTTCCTGGACAAGCTTGCAGGCTCACAAAACCGAAGGCCGCACATTTCTGCGGGGGGGCAGTTCCAAGGTTTCTCTGGAAGAGATTGAGTTGGCGGTTTTCATGACCGAGGGCCGAGAAAAAACAGAGTGCTACTTGGGAATTCCTACTTCGAAGATCTTCGAAGTGTGTGTGTGTGTGTGTGTCACACCCTGGTTCTAAGGGTTTTCCACGTTCTCACCTTTCCACTGTAACAGAGGCAGGGGGTCGCTGGGGATTCGTGCAGTCAGCGACCAACGAAGACGCTGCACGTTTCCTGTGATATGAGTTGAGGACGCTCGACTCACGTACCTGCGACTGTTCTGAACTTTTGCCCACGCTGTTCCAATCTCTCCTGTTTTGCTTCCATGGTGGTTCATGATACTTCCCCTAAACCTACTCTTCCCCAGCAGCTGCGTCGCCGTCTTGATCGTCTTGCAGCCGTGTGAGTGAAACACTTTTTCAACAATTCAAGTCACTGGACTCTTTCACCTTGCCGTTCCCTTACCTTCCTTCCCAACGTGGCAATTGAGTCTAACTGAAAACCAAGTTCGAAGTGTGGACCGCTCAGTCTTCCCACTTGGGTACTGGGTGTGACCCTCCGAAAGGAGGCGCTGAAATCATACCGGAAATCACCGATCTTCCATTTTTATATCTGCCTTTCCGTTTGTTCAACTTTATCCCTGAATTAACTGATTTTCGAGCCGCCGGGCTATAAACGACGGAATTTCTACCCAAAATTTCTGAAATCCATTCGTGTTGTGCATTGCTACATTCTTCAATTTTTATTTTTTCAACCGCAGCCGTTTAGCCAACGATCAGCTTACGCATGCTCAGCACTGCAGATCTCAGGGATTGCATTGCAAGCCAAGATTTCACCTTACTCTACTTCACTAACGCCACCGCTGCGGCTGAAGCCCTGGTCCACCTGTACGCCCAAAAAGGGCACGACCTGCATGCGTGCAGGCGGTTTTTGAAAGAAAAAAAGGTCCGTGTTCTCCACCGCTTGGACTGTGCGCCGATAACGGCGTGTTGTGTGTGTCACACCCTGGTTCTAAGGGTTTTCCACGTTCTCACCTTTCCACTGTAACAGAGGCAGGGGGTCGCTGGGGATTCGTGCAGTCAGCGACCAACGAAGACGGTGCACGTTTCCTGTGATATGAGTTGAGGACGCTCGACTCACGTACCTGCGACTGTTTTGAACTTTTGCCCACGCTGTTCCAATCTCTCCTGTTTTGCTTCCATGGTGGTTCATGATACTTCCCCTAAACCTACTCTTCCCCAGCAGCTGCGTCGCCGTCGTGATCGTCTTGCAGCCGTGTGAGTGAAACACTTTTTCAACAATTCAAGTCACTGGACTCTTTCACCTTGCCGTTCCCTTACCTTCCTTCCCAACGTGGCAATTGAGTCTAACTGAAAACCAAGTTCGAAGTGTGTTGGTATTGCGGCAGGTCTGTTTCACCTGAGTCCAACCACCTTCGCTGATCGAACCGTCCGCGACGCGAACCTTTCTGTCCCACTTGGGGCGCATGGTTTCGACAGGAAAGCGAAGGAGGTCGAAACCGAGAGTGGCATCGACGCAATGGGTTTCATCGACTGACCTGTTAGCAAGAAGCTACTAGGGGCTCCCGGCATCGCTACTTACTAGGAGCAAGGATGCTACTAGGGGCACTCCTGGCCTTACTACTAGTAACAAGAAGCTATTCACCCAATCTGCATCACCGCAGTGAACCAGTGATTGCAGCTGCCAGCGAAAGTATCACTGAAAGCGGGTCTTTGAGCAATAAACACCCTGAGCAGAAAACTGTTATCTCCAAGATTCCAACAAGGTGCCTGTATTCCAAGCTCTCTTTTGTCTTGGCTGCTCTGCATCTTCCATGTCCTACTAAGTCATCAAACGAATTCTTGAAAAAATGGCTGCAACGATATCGCATTGTTCCAGCTGAAAAAAAGTGCAGCGGTTCAAGGCTTGATCGCACCCGGCAGTTCATCCCGGGTCTCGCGCTGACGAAGCTCAGCGGACAAGGAGGTTTCCGCGCTCCAGGGCCATAAAGGGTCCTTGTTAAAGGGGCCCTTACCTTACCTTACTAGGAGCAAGGACGCTACTAGTAGCTCCTGGCATTGCTACTAGTAACAAGAAGCTACTAGTAACAAGGGTATCGCTACGAACGGAGCAAGGACGCCCCTTCCTTGCTTTTCCTTCCAAATGATCGTTGGTCTTCCAGGCTCCCGCACCCGCAAAGCATGGCCATGCAGCCCAAGTTCGCCTCATGGCATCGCCCTGACTTCAAGCTGCCACGACAAAGCTGAACGATTCATTCTGCCTTGGGAACTACACCCTCAAACAAAGACAAAGGGTTAAGTCTACCTCTCTGTATGGGTCTACACAGGTCTACACATGTGACAGCGTCCCAGACTTACAATGAATCTGGGCCCATGGTCTGAAAATAAATGCATCTAGGTTTGATCATGTGATGAAACCGAGCATTTTGAGCGCAGGCTTGGTCTCCCCACCCAATCCTGCGAGCTCTGATGTTTGAAGGGGCCTGGAGGCTGGAGTATCTGCCAAACAACCTATCTGCTTTTCCATGCGTTTCCGTGCTTTTCCTTGCTTACCTATTAACTCCACGATGCTCCATTCAAAGTAGAAGAGTGAGCTGGACTTTCATACAGAAGTAAGGCTCATCCCTGGGCGCTGAGCACGGCATTCTTCTGGAGCAAGTACTCGCAAATCTGCGAACATCAAATGGACACATGGCAGGCACTTGCACGTTCGCTGGGGGCGGACTCCAACCTCTTCGTTCTCGATGCTGTTGAGGGTGCATGTGGAATAAATCAGCCTCGGCGATAGTTCCAGGCTGCTGGGCCGGTTTCTTCCAGTTCTTGCTATATATATGCAAGTGTTGTTCCTGGGATTTGCGCAAGGGGTTTCACCACAACTCCATACAACTCCTTTGGTCTATGAAAAGACGTGAAAACGCAAAGTGCACACAAACGATAGAAAGCTCTCCTGTTCAAAGCACCGGAGCGGGTTCACCTTCCTCCCGCTTCGGAAAAATCACGACAATAGTCGTGCCCCTGAGGATGGTGGATCTTGCAATCCATGATCCAAGCATCCCCGCACACCGCCAGGCCTGTGGGCACAAAGGTCAAGAAAAGTTGAGCATAATATTGTTCCCTTCCCCTCGTGATCAGGATTTTGATCATCTGAATCAGTACCTTCATCATCCGCATCCTCCTCTTCAGCAAAACATCGCCGAAAACGACCAGGCCTGAGAGCTGACCAAGCACTGTCGAGCAGCTCCATCTGCAACGCTGCCTCAGTCTGTCCAGAGAAGAAATGATAAGAAATGGGACACGGGAGGTATGACAGGTGGGGCTCAGGAGACACCTAACTAATACAAATAAGACACACACACCCAGTAGACTTGAATGAGGCTTGGCCTAGGCTCCGCCTTATTCAAGTTATGAAGTACGTGTGAAAGCGCCGGGCATGTCCAGTTTGGTGCTTTTTGTTGACGTTCTCCCCTCCAACGAAACCCGCAGCCGCAGTCTGTCCTGTCACACAGATACAGGCTCTGCACATCAGTGGTGGGTGGGTCACATCTGTGTATTGTGTGTGTGCGCATCCTGGTGCAGTTAAGTCCCCCAAGCAAGGCTGAAAGCACCTACTTACAAAGTACAGTGCTGGGACAAACCTGCTGATTCTTCAGAAAAGCTGCCCCGGACTCACTTGACAATAATCCTTCAGCTATACAGTACTTTCGGTATCTTTCGGTCAAAAGGATCACAAGAAGTCTGAAGGCCAACAGGCACGAACATGAGCGACCCCACAACTGCTCCAGGCACTTTCGGCCTTTATTTGCTCCTGCGCGTTCGGTCCCATATGGTCCCATTGATCAAGAACGTGTTCAATATTTGTCCATCTAATCTCATCTGGTCGGTATCTCGTTCGAACGCCCTTTCTCAAAGATTCTCAGAGCTTGGACTGTTCGCCGTCACCGTGAAGTCCATGCCCTTCTCATCGCTGGGGGTCACGGTAAAGTCGATGACTTCCAAGGTCTCACAGGAGATGTTCGTCGGTGGCCGTCGGTCGCCCAGCCGGGACTTCTCCAAAAGACGTCGGATGCGTGCCTCGCGACGCGCAGCACAGGCCTCCACGGTGTCCTCCAGGGATCCAACATGTTCCGGCCAAGTCGCCAAGTCTTCTAATGTCCAAGTCTTTTTCATATGCCAGTCATGTGCCGTGGTTTTAAGATCAACACAGGTTCCAGACTTGAATTGTTCACTCTCTCTCTCTCTCTCACTCTCTCCTCTCTCCTCTCTCCCTCCTTCTCTCCCTCCCTCCCTCTCTCCCTCCCTCCCTCCCTCCCTCGCTCTCTCTCTCTCTCTGTCTCTCTCTCTCTCTCTCTCTCCATCATCCTCTCCAAGGGTTCAGAAACAAATGTTCAAGTGTCTATAGCCATCGACGCAAGACTGCTCTTTGCTCCCAACTCCTCACAGGTCAAATTGTAGAAAATGTCGAATTCGTCCCAAGGTTCATTCGCATCTACAGCGCTTTCGGAGGCCAACCACCCTCCATGGAAGAAATGATAAACCACCTTGTCAGCTCAGTTCAGGGCTAGCTATCAGCTACATAAATCCACTGTGCCAAACGCATCACAAGTCATCTGTGACACAATTCCATGTGCTACAAAAACCCGCGTCCCAAGTTTTCACGCCAAGGGTCGATGTCTTCTTGCCGGCCTGCCCAGCCAGAGGTTGCTAGCTTGCGTGAGGATGAGAACTCCACACCGGGCTCCAGCAAAGACCACTTCAGCCGCGGCACAGGAGGCAATTGCTTCACCAGGATCTCCTCCTGCATCGAGGTGGAGACTTCTTCAGGGTGTCATAGCTAACCTATGTAGAGCTATGGGGGCTCCCTAGCATACCTTCAGTATCTTTAGTACACCTCGGGAAAAGCTGCTCCATAAGGGGCCAGCCCATGGGCGATATGATGACTCAGGCGCATTGGTAGTATGGGAAACACGCGTTGCAGTCAGGACGCTTGCGTGTTCCAATCTGAGGATGCGGGCCCTGAAGCCAACTCAGGCACTTTCTCTAGCAAAGTGGTGAAGTGTCATTTCCAATGAGTTACACTCATCATAAATGAGTTCTAGCTTCATGTAACCTATGCATGGTAAATCATGGTGAGCTGTCACCTGTGCCATCCTCTTTGTGTAGACCAATCTTGAGCAGCTCGCGTCCTTCACCACCCATGGCTCAGAGCCGGTGGTTTTCTGCATTGGTTCTTCGCCTAGGAACGCAGAAAGCGCCTTCTGCGTCACCCCATGCGGGAAAGGATACTGATAGAGCCATGCCAGCAAAGTCCTCGTGAAGTCCCGCACAGCCAGAGTACTTCCTTAAATTCAGTTATGTCAAGCAGAGTACTGCCACGTCTTCCACCTTCGAAAGAACGTGGGACGTATTTTGCCTCTTGCAAATCCAAGGTTCTGTAATATGCGAAGGCATTGCAAATGCAGGCATCGCCGAAGGATCCGCCCACGAGGAATTCGGGCGTCTCTTGATAGCTTTCAAGCTCAACGATCAACTTTTCCTCGGAGCTTCGATCGCACAGGGGGATTCCTGACACGTCCTCTTCCGGCCTAAGGCAAAAGAAACAGGTGAGTAATGGTGTGTATATGTATCTATTACATATTCCTATAACAATTGCATGTGTATTTTTGGGTAGTCTTAGACAGGCTGTGTTTCATGAACCCGGAACCCACTTGGGAGCCCTAAAATTAACTGTGTTTCATGAACCCAATTGGAACCCACTTGGGAGCTCCAAAATTAACTTTGTTTGTAATGAATGTTCTGAATGATTGTCAAAATTGTTTGGAAAAAAGGTTTTGCAATGTTGTAAAGTGTTTGTAAATTTATTTGGATAAACGGATCCAGGAACATTCTGACTATAAAATTAGAAAGGAATGCCCGTACTACCTGAACCTTTTCTTGCACAAGCTTCTGTGAGATTCTTGAAGGCATAGATATCGAAATCAATAACAAAGGCATCCACGCCCATGTTCATGAGAGCCAAAGGGATTGTGTAGCGGTGGAGGCCCGTCTTGGTCTCCAAGAAAACACACGCAGATCCCTCCACCCTGCGGCACATCTCATAGGCAGTTTCATCACCACAGAACATGATAAGATTGTGCATGCCAAGTTCATGGAATCGAGATACGTAAGCAGGAAGCCATCTCACCTAGGTATTCAGGAGCCGAAGGCCACAGTTGATTGAACATTGCGTGCAGTGATGTGTAGGTCTCGTATATTTTCATCTGAGACAACATGTACCAACCCCGACGTCCATACCTCACCAGCAGAACCTAGAATTAGAATGCCCAAAAACACAGTGAACCAATGTTCCAGCACTGGATTGAGTGGCATAATCTTCACCCCAAACATAGCTTGCATAGACCAAAAGTCTCTGCTCGCCCCGAACGACATAGGGCCGCGCATGGCTGAGCACGGCCTGCGCGCTTTGGCGCATGGCTGGTGAGCCCAAGAGCATCGAAGCGAGGCTGGGATGCGTCTCCGCCATAAGCTCGGTCTGGTCAAAATCCAAATGAAAGGCGGTGCGGTGAAATTGACAAACATGAGGCAAAAGCATGCTCAAAAACCAACTGGAGCCCAAGAAGTGCCACGGTGACCTGAGAGCCAAGCTCACAGAAGTGCCACTGAGCTGGCCAATTCCTTTACTAGAAGCTACTGACTCCTAGAAAGAAGTAGTGCATCTGAGGGACAAAAGCATGAGGTAAGGTCTCAAGGATTCGGCGTAGGTGAAAAACGTTCTAGGTTCTGTATGCCAGCCAATGCTTGCCTTCAGAATCATGATGGCAATCCAACCAAGACGACACGGAGGCTCCCAGTTGCTTTGCCTCAATTGATCCATCTCCAGTTCCTGAACTTTTGGAGCAAATAGCCACTTGGAGAGTTTTCCCACCAACGATTCGCCTTGACCAATGGCCCAATTCAGGTCCTTCAAGAATCCGGCAAAGAACTCATCATCTTCGCAGTTCAAGCTGGGACTATGCTGAAGTGAGTGCCAGAAAGTGCTCAAGTTGTGAGATCCTTCCAGAATCACCACGTGTTTCATCTCAAACGTGTGTATTTGTGTGGATTTTGGGCGTATCCCATGACCAGTAACACTGGATGATGACGGCTGGCAAATTCTTGCCCAAAGCATGTGATAGTCAGTGATAGTTGATTAGTTGATCATATCCTTTAGTGATTCTTTCTGTTATACATTGACTTGCTGGTCATCGCCTCTTTATGCCTCATGGCTCATGACAGTTTACAGTTTACATGTGAAAGTAAGTATATCACAAGTACCATTGCTCTGGTGTCATGGAACCATAACAAGCTTTGTCTCCCTCCTCGCTCGTAGAGGAACACCATCTTCTGCGGGCTTCTCACCGGCCAGGAGGAGGTCAAGATCACTGCCAGGGGAATCTCCCGGCGGAACATGCTCGCCATCAGGAAGTCTGCCACATCTTCACACTCGGTGACCTCCTCCATGACTCGGTGCAAGCAAATTCCCAAGTTCAAAGAAGCCAAGAAAATGGCACCGATCGGGCATTCCTGAAAGGCCGTTCTCCGTGCTTCCGGGTCTTGCAAGACTAAGGCAGCCTCAGTGAACTCGGTCATCGCCAGGGGCGACTCGAAGTCCGCATATTCCACCACGATCTCACGAAGTTTGTTCCAATTGAAGAGCCCTACAACCTGACGACACTCCCAATCGACCAATTCCAATGAGACCTCATTGGCCAGGGGCTGCAAGTGCACACAGGGCAAGAAGGCCAAAAATGCCAGCCATAAGCAATTCACGCGACTCATGTTCGCAAGAAGAGCCAGCTAGCAAATCCAGTTTGTCTAAAACTGTCCCTTCTTTGTATTGCATCTTATTGCCACTAGTCGTATGCTGTTCTGGCTTGTTTTGCAATTGCTGCCGTTGGCCAAGTCGCGCTGTACATATGAATTATATAACTATGAGTTGCCATATGTAGCTGCTTCACGGAAAAAATTCAATCCCAGTAGCAGTGCACCTGGCTACTGGCTGCTACTGGTGGCTATGTGGTGTAACAGGTTGCAACCTGTTGAAAAAGACGGCTGAGCGGCTGCCACGTCTTTCCGAACACACCTACGCTGAATCGCCAACAGGACAGGCCATTGGCTAAACATGCGATGAATCTTGCCGAAACAAAAAAAAATCTATAACCGTGGCATACTGTGGCAAACCTCGCAACATTTCAATCCCTGCAAAATTCACGTTCGACCTAATATGACCTAATCGGCTTCTCACCGTGCCAGTCCACCGTTCACAACGCCTTCGCGCCACCATGCGACCAACCCAAACCGACATGCAGGGGCCGAAAGGCCACTCAAGCTCCCCACCATGCTCTCACGCCGCCCTGGGCAAAGATGCGAGGGCCTTTGCATCTCCCCGGGGTTAGTTTAGCCTATGTCTGCTGGATAACCCACCACTCATCCCTAAACCTCCGAATTCCTACTGGGTTCCACCACCCTCGCCTGTGGGGTGTTCGTTCCAAGCCTCAAGGTTCGATGCGTACCTCAACAAGCTGGTGCACACACCAGAACGTCCCTCAACAAGTCTTTAGAAGGCATCCTCGCACTCCGATGAAGTTTTGACGGCGCTTTTCAAGTTGCCCACGCTGCCTTTTCTTTCTCCAAGTCCGACGGGTTTCTGCGATTCTGCGCGCGGAAATGTTATGCAGCACGCCTTCGGCTCTTGCCGGCTACGGCGCGAACAGTCAGAATCATGATCGAAATAGGATTATGTGGCGGGTAGCCACGCCTATGTCACAGCCAAAAAGGGCCAAGGTAAGTGGTGAAAGGAGGGCTACACAATATGTATGTATGGATCCGGCTGCGCCCTACTTGCAAAGCACTAAACAGGTAGTTTTCACAAACCATTGCCAGGACAGCACTTGCTCCAACTACGCTTGGGTGCCCTGCTTCAAACGCCACGCGCACATGCGCTGTCCGTATGGGGCGGTTTTCTCCTCCATCTTTGGCTTTGCCGGAAAGCTCAAGCTCCTACTTGCGGCCATGTGTTCTGTCAGCATCTTGAGGCACCACCACAACATGATGCCCTGCACAAACACCAAGATGCCAAAGGCAAAAGCTAAGTCTGTGAAGATCCAGCCGAATCCCCACTTCTCTGCATTCTCCACATTAAAATGATCATGTCGAATCTCCCCTGCACCCTGCAAAAAGGTGAGCAAAGCAAATCATGGTCAGCCAGCATGTAAGCTAAACAGCCTGCTAGCTGGTGCCAAGCAAATCCAGGTATCCTCTGGCCACAAAAACCCAAGCTGCCCAGCCCTCTTCTTTTCCACTGAAGCTCTTGGGCTTCCCAACCGCCCTCGTGTTGATCAGCCCGGTGCCCCTTGCCTGCTGCGCTGGTGGTTGGGTTTGTTGCGGCTGTCCTCCTGCCATCTGCAAGCCATTGGTGAGGGTGAATGCAGCAGCTGGAGTCGGCGGCGCATCCTCAGATGCCATGGGCGCTGCTTCCCACCCCCATCGATGGGGATTGATGCCGTGCTCCCCGCCACTCTTTGTGGACTTACTTACGGGGCATCCTCCACGCAGGCTCCGCTACCATGCAGCGGGCAGACGCCTTTCTCACAGCCAGAATGGTCTAGGGTAAGTGGTCAGTAGTGAATGGAATGTTATACAAGATGCATGTATCTGCTTGCTCCAAACGGTGCGTTTCGTGGCTTTCTGCCTGGGCCTCCCAACATTGTTTCCGAATTGGCCAGTGGGCTTTCAGGATCTTTCAGGTACACAATGTAAGTCCGTCCGTCTGCCTGCCTTTGTTTCCCAAGTTTTTGGTTTGACTCGGGTGCTACCCTTGTGCTGTGATGTGGTAGGTAATGGTAGTTATATTTCATCCTATTTTAGATGTCGTGTTGTGAATTATAGCGATGGCCGGGTTGGCTAGCTATTACCTCCGCAATGGATGGAACATGATGGAACTCCGAAAGGTATGTCAATGTGACACCGCGCCCATGCCGATCTACATGCCGCTGAGGTCAAGAGACAAACGGGATGAAACTGCAACTATAGGCAGGCTGAGCGAACATGCACCACAGCGAACAAACCTGGCAAGGAAGCATGCTCCATCAGAACATCCCAAAACCTGTTTTAGATTGGTTTCGGAATTCGGCCAAGGTCCGGTGGTGTTGGCTAGTCCCCCTGGCAAAGCTAGAGGCCCTAAACAGACTAGACCCCCCACGTCATGCTGCCCCAAAGTAAAAGGCAAGGCTGAGATAGGTATGGTGTCAATGTGTCAATAAACATCCTTACAACCTTTATAACTTTGTAAACTTTCAAGTTGATCTGAACGCCCTTGACACTTGACACACACAAAAAAAAAAAAAAAAACGTCCAAAAATCTATATATGGGAAGGTCAAATGAACCAGCTGGATTTTAGGATTGATAATGATTGAAACACCTCCGTGGTGCAATGTGTTGGCAAACAGCCATGTTCTGCGCAACTTTGCGAGTGATCAGGCTTGGCCGGATCACAGCATCAGGACCGTCCTCTTGCACGTCACAGCAAATTGGCGATAGGAGCCAAGAGGACATGTGAGTATATGTGAGTCTCATTTTGTGAGAGAGTACTTTAGAACACGTTCAGTCAGTTTGCCCGGATGGGCATACAAAACTTCTTTGCTGGACTGCCTCAAAAGTCCCAAATCTTGCAGCTGTCAAAGCTGGAAAGCCACCCAGCGTCTTGCTTTGCAAACACGCTGTGGCCAAACACACTTTGTCTGGCAGATGTCCGGGTGTCCGAAGGTCGCTTGATGTCCGAAGGTCACACTTCACGTCTTGTGTCACAGGTGCCCTGTCCTGTTTGGAAAGTGAAGTTCAGTTCCGAAAGCCCAAACCTTCACCACCACTGTCACCGGCACGTGAGACGATGCTCGTGGTCATGGCTCTGGCTCATATTCACATGCTGACAAATGGGTTGGCATTTTGCTTCTGCTGGTGAAGAATGTCGCGGACCTGGGCGCGCCAACGGTCTGGACAATAATATAGACAAATGAAACAACATGAAGGAGTAGCAAGCCACAGCGTGGGGCTGACTATCAACAAAAATGGAACTGCTGTCCTCGATCAACCGCCGCATATTTACGAGCACTCACAGGATCAATAACTGGAATTAGTGAAAATATGAATTATTTTTTAACCGCTACTTTCCCACCTCCATTTGTCGGGCAAAACAGCAAAACTGACATGTGTGGCAGTGAAACTGAGCACCTGAGGCAAGAGCCGCATAAGCCACGGCACTGACATCAGTGGGCTTTTCGTTCACGCGGTTCCAATTTTCCTGGCCCGTTCGCTGAGCGTGTGAAGACATGACCCTCACGTGGCCCTAAAAATATAAAGGGACCTCGATCTGATTCTTAGGTGTCCCTGGCAAACATTAACAAAGCCATTGAAGACTCTGTGCACCGAAACGGCCCCCAGATCAAGCACCTCTGTCAGATCAAGCTGATAGTCCTTAGGCATTGCATCCAGCGTGAGCAAGAGACAATAATAGCCAAGCTGTCAATTTGTGGAAACAAAATGATTTGGATTTGTGATTTATGTGCCTGGCTTTCCTCAATTCCAAATTTAAGCATTCTCGCGTGTGGCTCAACAAGGCCTGAAAGTGCTGTGGTTCTACAAGGGGCATTGCAAGGTATGTCGCTCATGTCGCACGAACCATCATGAACCCATCACATAAATTGCAGAGGCTGACAAATGTTGACCACCTTCTCACGCTCCACACTCTATTTGTTTAGGTCGACCTACCGCAACCCATCTGGTGCAAAACAGCGAGTTCATGCGAGCCTTGCACTAGACCTACTAGTCACTAGACACTGATCCTGGATCCTCTCTTGGTTTCTGCCTCCATATCCTTCCTTGCCCAGCTTCCTGATCTTTGATTAGCCGCAGCTTGGATCGCGAGAGGCACGTCTGGAAGACGAAAGGGTTTTGCCTCAAACCGAGCATGTTGTCGGAGGCAAACCATCGCTGCCGCAACAACAGAATGTGACTGATTTGTTGAAACTCAGTCTGTCGCAACAGAACATGTATGCCTTAGGAAGCCAGCAATGATCAGTGCTGCCCTAAAAACTAATTGTTAATATTTAATATCAATGCACCTTCATTATTTGCAAAGGGTCTATGCTGCGTGGTTTGCCTTCGTTGAGCTCTGGGCTGCTGCGTTGCTGTTGCTTGCCTGTGGCAACCAGAAGGAGCCTGTCCCACATCATCTCCCTCCGGGCTAAATTCGCGCCCAGAAACAATACCAGGATGAAACCCGCCAAGTTGGAGAGATCAATGGTCGTGATCTTGTGACCTCAGGATGTGCTCACAATTCCGCTGATGTGCTGAAGCTTGCCTAACAACAGCAGCAACAACTCAAAGGGACAACAGCAAGAGCAGCAACAAACCAACAACAACCAGTCGGAACATGGAAGCACACAATCTCTGAACAATACCTGAAGCAAGCCCGAGAAACAAGTTGTTGCATGACTCCTGCATACCATTGGCTGTCTCTGTTTGAATACTGTTGACTGTTGAGTCAATAAACAGGGACTGACAAACATGAAGCTGCGGGGTTGTCTTGGTAGCTGATAAAACGGACACACGGTGACATGGCACCTATCACACAAAATCTCAAAGTGCAAAAGAGAACAAAAGAGTGCAGCTCCTGGAGCTCTGACAACTCCGGTTGGTTGGCACAATCACCCGTCTACATTCATCTATGAGGTTCTAACATGTAGGGTGGGGACTTTCCGGCTTTTGCATCCATGAGGGCAGCACTTTCTCTCTCCTTCTCTGGTGAGGGCGCCCAGAGGGTGAGGCGCCACCATTCGGTGCACGAGGAGTCCAACGGTTCTGAAAGGGGATATTGGCCTTGGGTCTTTCCCACCAGTAACCGTGGATTTTCCGCTCAGTAAAGGCCTGGTTCAAAACTAGTGACAACTGTTTACTGACTGGTAGTATGATAAACCCAATATACCACAACTGATCTAGCGCATGATTTGTACACGAGGCCGAGGCCCGCACACCTAAACAATTAATTGAAACTCCTCAAGCACGACACACTCAGTTCTTAAATGAAACATCAAGTGGGCCATAGTGGGCCTAAGTGGGCAAGCCATGGCAAGCCTAAGCACCAAGCACGAGCCTGAACATGCACCATCCAATTGACTTTGACTGCTTGCCGCCTGCGCACTTCGCACTTGGGTGCCCCTACTGAAAGAGCTAGCCCAGGTTGCTTCGATCAGGGACACCAGCACATCCAAAAGGCCAGGCACCTCGGTCTTGACGTCCAGTTGGAGCGCCTCCACCCCTTTCTGTCTGTCGGAGGTCAGTTAGGTGGGTCGTCTCAAAAGGCCTGTCATTTTCGTTGTCTGCACCCAAAAAACACAGAAAATCGGGTCTTCATCCATTTCCATAACTGAATCCATTTGTCCAGGGACAACGCTTTCCACTCTTTCCACCCGCCGAGACTCGCTCACATGTGGGTTCTTCTTCGCATTTTCCAAGCAAAGTGGGAGGAACCTGGCAGCCAGGAGGCAGTGACAGCGCAAACGGTGCTTCCTCAAAAAGAAGAATAGCGCATGTCGCAAGATTGCTATCACCAGGCGACCAACTCCAGGTCCACTCGAAGCGAGCTAATGCGTTTTATTCTGTGCAGCTCCTAGGCCACCAGAACCGGACCACCCGTTTCTGTTCAGATCAAAGCTGATGACAGCGGCACTCAAAGACGATGGCCGAGGATTTGATGCCACTTGGAAGGAAATGGCTTGTTAGCACATTTCGTTGATGCTCATCCAACCTGTGCAATTGCTGGGGCAAACAAATTAAAACTTGGTTGAACTTACTGTAAACTCAGATAGGCTCAGGCCGTATACCATGCACGATACAAATTCACACAATGACCTGGCTGACTTGACAAGCCGCAAGGATCTTGCAATCTTACATCCACCGTGTTTCATGTCCAAGGTCATGTCCAAGGGACTCATGATAAGCTTTTTGAAGCTCATCATAGTCGTGCCCATTACGCGCACGGCATAGGCAAGCAAGACGCAGAATCGCCAAGTCCTGGCTTGTTCCTTGGGCCCGCAGGAGTCACAGCAAAGTGCTTGGCACAACCATCAGCTTTGCCAAATCCTCTCTGATCGATCTGGACGTCTGGATGGAAAACTCCATATGGATTAGCAAAGCTGGTGTACAAGCATAATATATGAGGTTGCTGAGACCGTCATCTGTTTGGGCCTACAATCGCCGTTTCGCTTCACTAAGCTTATCCAAGACACGAGCAACACGCTTCAAGAGAGTGCCGCGCTGGTAGATGTACGTCCTCAGGACAGCTCAAACTGCCCAGACTCTCTTGGGGTCATAGAGTTTGGAAGCTTCACGTTCTTCTCAGAACCATTGCTATACTATTACTGAGCCTTTGCGTCAATGGGAGTCCACAACAGGGAATGCATTTTGGCTTTGGATCGGTGGCCCGCAAAGCTCCTCGCTACATGCATGGGCAGGCTCCATGGGCAAGTATGGGGCCCTCTTGAATGGCTGCGATGCCATCTGAATCTATTTGGACAGCACTTGACAAGTTGACAAGACACCCAGACACAGGGCGAAGTCTGTTAAAAAGAAACGAGCATTGTAATGGTAAAATATGATATATATATATGCATCGAACATCTAGCAGGTCTCATGGAATTGTCTGGCCTTTCGTTACCAAACACTCAACATGGTCAGCCTTTATGGACCTCTGCTGGCACTACTGACAATTGACACCATTCTGACCAGGGAAGATCTCTTCTCCCAACCGACGGCACCAGCAGCGGTGTGCGCACTACTCAGTAGCAGCATTTCGAGAACATGACTCTACAGCACACAAGGCATGACAAACCGAAACCAAAGCAAAGCATCGATGAACACACTCATACATGTCAAAAAAGACATAAGAAACTTACTGCAAGTGTAGTGTAGGAAAACAAACACTTTGTATAAGAAAAAACAGCGACCAGCAGGCCGGCAGGTTGTAGAATATACCTCTAGGACTCCAAACCAACGCTCAAGTCTTCCAGAGCACACAGTGACACAGCCAGCACCTGCATTTGGGCTCTTTCATGCACAGGTTAGGACAGGTGGCGACAGGTGTGGCTGACTCCCGACATATGCTGCTATGCAAAACCCCTGGCTGAGCATGCTCTGTGCAGGCAAAGCGACCAGTACAGGAATCCAGGCTCTTTCTCCAGCACATACTGGACCTGAAACAGCATTTTGAGCACCAAGAACTAAAATGCCCAGAGCACCAATTCAGATTGGCAGAAAAGCTGGTTGCAATCTGGTAATTCTATGTAATTCTGGTCTTGGGCGCACTTTGACAGTTTGACCGGTCTGCTCCTGGAACCTTCTTCGACACCATCTCTTGAACTTTGGTGCTGCTTACCACCAACCGTGATGTCTTTGAGATTCCACTTGCATAAACGCCTGTGCCGACGCCGTAATTTCATATGCCGTAGTTATATATAAACACCGTTTTTCCTACCTGTAACCACCTAAGACTCAAGTGGCTGTGCTCAAACCCAAGTAGATGTTCTTGGCGTTGGAATGGGTCATGAAGAGGGAGCCATGGCCTCCTTGAAGCGCACCTCGCTCCGACGCACGGGACCGGCGAGGTGTTCACGGTGAAAGCTTGCGCAGGACGGAAGTCAGATGTAGGCCAGATGCGCGCGTGAATGTTCCAACTAACGTCCACGCGTTGGACAATGCATGATCATCCAACTTCCACACATTATAAATGCATGATCCTTTTCATTCCTTTTCCCTCGCTTTCCTCTTTGTCTCTGGCTTATATGTAGACGTGGCACTTGCACCAAGCAAAAGCGGAGGTGGTTGGTAGCCACCAAAGGTATCTTTTGAAGAAAAGATATCGTTGCTGGTCAAGACACTTAGAAAGCCCAGAAGAAACACCACATAGAACTTCAAAATGACTGCACCGCCGTTTTCGTCCAGGAAATGCCGCCTCCAACGACAAGATCCAACGATCGATGTCGGAGACGTCGTCGCACAAAGACGCTTCAAATCGACAACAACCACGGAAAACACACGGTTTTGCCCACTGTAGACGCTGAACTCAGGCAATCACAGAACTTGGTGTGGCTCGTGTTGCGACGCTGATGTCTACTTCAGACCAGGGTCAATTGCATCAGGTTTGCCGGCACGTTTTCGCCCTGGAGCATCTGTGGGAAGCTGAAGCCGCGCTGCAGCTGCATGGATTTCACCCTCAGTTGCTGATGATTCGTGACAACTACACTGAGTACACCAACCTCATACGAAGTAATCAAACATCCTCTTCAGGAAAATCCTTTCTGCCAACAATCTAAAGCACTCAGACTTTTCAATGCACGGCCAAACCTTTGATTCCTAAAGCCGGGCTAATCGGTGCAGTGACTTGTGAAATTCAATTCAAGACTGTCAGCCTTATGCTAAATCTCCGCTCTATAGTCTGCCACACGCCAACTGCTTCTGAGCAACTTTGCATTGAGATACTTGAATCAGAATCGTATTTTGAGGTGATGAAAGGCGTGAAGGCCTACATACGTCTACATTCACATGTAGAAATCATATGAAATAACTGATTACTTTGAATCTCTCCAGATCCCCGTCTCTGAGTCTCTCCCGTAGTTCCACTCCCTGAGTCCCTTGGGTCATGTCTACAAAGGCACACCATGGACTGGCCGGACGGGCTTAGACCTCAGCTCCACGCCGGAGAAAACACAGAGATGTCGCTGTGCCGAGATGTCGTTGGGTGATTTTTGTGGCCAAGTAGTTCGGAACGACGCACAACATGTGATGTATTAAAAAAAACCCTATACATTTTGTATGACCACTTTCAGCCTTATCGTTTTTTTTTAACTCTTTATCGTTTTTCAATGTTTGGAACTCAGTATACAGTCTCTTGTCGTTTCCCAGCTAACCACACATGTCCCTGCCTCCACTGCAAAAAAGTCGGTGTCTGTTAATACATACATACAACATATTCTCAAGAATGATTCACATGGGTGCTGTTGACCTGTCGGCCTAACATCCACTGAATTAGAATCCATGCATGTACATGCAACTATACTTACCCATATGGATCAGCAAATGTCTACCCATGTCCCAGCGATGCTCAAGGAACCAAAAAAGAAATCACTCCTGAATGCTTGTATTACACGAAAACCTTGACATGAAACACTCTTGTCAAAAAGAATGCACCTGAAATCAATAACTGGATTTGACAGCTATTTGCTTCAAGAACTGAAGGCATTTGAATTTCCAATGCTTCTATTCTCATGTACTGTACTGCATGTATTACATGAGTGTTATCGTTTTTTTTAACTCTTTATCGTTTTACAATGAATCAGCCATGGTTTGCTATAACGGGACCACTGTTTACATTTCTCCTAGGTCCCGGGTTTTTTTAAAACATCATGTTTTGTTCCAAAATGTTAGACTGGTAACTGCTCTGTCTACCTGGAGCATCTTGGAGCATCGATTCTCTTGCAATTCCAGCGTGCTCTGCTCACATACCCCACCTTTGCCTTGCATGGTTTAGGGCTTGCAGCGGGTGCAAATCATCAGAGCGCGCCAACATGATCTGCACTTGCACCTTAAACCTGGCAGTGCACCTTAAGTCCCTAACCATACAATCTTCCTATTTGCTGACTGATCATGAAGTCTTCCCCTCGGCGTGGCTTCAAGGATTCAGCTCCACCCTGCAGCCCATGGACGCTCGAAGGATGGAACCATGTTGGTGTAGTTGTTCTGGGCGCGAAGCAGTCAAAAGCGGCGAACCGAGGGCGTTGTGCGGTTTTCTGTGGCAGCTGATGATCTGCATGTATAATCATGATTCATGCAAAATACATGGATGTGTCGGATGACTAGCACGCTTTCTGAGCGACAGATTCTGCATGGCTTGTGGTGCATGCTCGTGGTTTTGACGAGTAGATGGAACAAATTCCAGAAGGATCCGAAGGTAAATCATGGATGCAATCTGAAAAGTGTGTAAAGCTTTGTCCCATGTACTTCTTGGAACCTGTTGCCGGATTGTGGACACTTGCATTCTCAATGAAAGAATTCGTTTGCGGCATGTGATTCGTCTATGATAGAGTCTATGGTCTGTAGTTCCAACCACCTGGTCGTCTATGATAGAGTCTATGGCTCAGATATCGGCGACCTTGCCTGGTTTGGGTGACCCAGTGTGGATGTTTTGACGAAAAGTCTGGTTCCATCATGTTCCATCACCCACCACCCACCACTGGTGGTCACGGAGGACCCACTTCTTCCGCCGTGGGGCCAGGATGGCGAGAAGCGCCTCTTCGGGCTTTTGACTCTCTGGAGGCAGTTGCCGTGTCACCGCCCTGGCGAAGAAGGTTAGAGATCTGAGAAGTTGCAGAGTGAAACTTTGAGTCTGCAAAATGTAGTGCTCCCCTCTGTGCCATGCAAGTTTCTACGCAACTTCAGCTACAAGGAAGTGACGCGTGACATGCAGAAGTCTTAGATAGATGCGTGGAAATCGCGGTGGCCTTTGCAAATGGATTGCAAGCATTTCCGGAGTGAACATTTCTCCAGGAGCTTTTATGTTCCAAACCACGCTCATGGAGTGAAACAAGCATCATCAACCTCAAGGTTGGAGGCATGTTACTTAACTGCAAGAACCGTTGGAATCCGCACCCGAAACACCCCCCTGAAAAGTGCTGCTGAGGGAGGAAAGCAAGCGTCAGTGATGTCATTTTCCTGAAGAATCTGCGCTGATGATATGTGGTGGTCTCCTACATTGTTTGGGAGCCACACTGGGATTGGCTTCCATGTTGGGTATGACGTGTTACGTGGACGTCGGAAAGGTCGGCCGCCTGCATTTGCCAATGCTTCGCACTGCCAGCAGGAAGAAGGCCGCTTCCAGCATGTCCTCACAAAAGCCACTGGAATGCAGCTACATTGGAAGAGGGGAAGTATGTCGCCGTGGGCCGTGTGCCGCCCAAATCTCGATGCTGGCTCACCAGTAGGTGAAAAGCATCCTTTCCACTTCCGACGGTGCAATAATGCAGTGCAGGTCTCCGATCTAGCTGTTCACTTCATCTCCAGAGTGGTGTAGTTGCGAGACTCGACGCGATATATATCTACACCACCAACCCACCCAACCCCAGAAATCACTCACCCATCTGGGCCCCCAGAGTGCCACCGTTTTTTGAGCACCCGTCGCCTCCGTGGGCGCTGCCCAATGCAGGATACTGCGGAGCTGTTCCCACTGGCTGCGGTGCAGCTTGGCCGCATCCTGCGGAGCGGACACACACAAGGGAGAATCAACCTTTAGCTCAAAGGGGCAAGCATTTCACGGCCACTTGATTGATGTACATGCCATAACTAATCTTGCCCTTGCCTCTGCATCCCTTGCTTGAGCCAGGGGCAAAAATTAAAGTACAATATATAGTTGTATTATATTATATTGTGGCATTATAGTTGGTAATTAATATATTATGGTATAATATATTATATGATTTTGTGCTACTTGCCGACATGTGGAAACAATCTTCAGTCAGTACAGGTCTTTTTTCGAGAATTTGCTGTCCATGCCTTTGGGCGGACACTTCTTACAATTACAATTATATACATCATATACAAGCCCCTCCAAGCGATCAATCAGCCCACGAATCAGCTCATGAATTCCGTTCCATGCGATGGCTCGAACCGAGCGCAAGGCTGACGGGCATCCTTTCACTCAGTCCGTGTCGCGGTTGCAAGCTACACATAAGGTTGTTGAGAACCCCCCCCCTTACTCCCGTTCATAGAGTAGGAGTCATTGATTACTACGCCGTTGAACTTCTCCCAGATGCAAAGATAACCCGAGCAATGCGTAAAGGCCAAATATCAGTGTGCATCTCTGTGTGGTGTGCTGACGGAAAGGCATGGAGACAACACGTACCCCACTTGTCGCCTGCTGCGGCTCCGTGTACGTCTCATAGTCGTCCGCCACCAAGGCTGCCAAGCAATAACAAGAACAAATGGCCTGAAGCTGGCAAAACAGGGAGTTCGATTTGAGTGGTGTGCGGCCCCATCCCGCCCCTCTAAGCATCAAAGAGTGGAACATGTGCCTTCTCCATCTCATTCTGCTGGGAGTACCTCGGTCGCTGGGGCGGGCCAGCCTAATTCGGCCTGCGCGGCCTGCACCAAGCAGTTCCACAGAATCACACTTGCTTTGATATTAGATCATCACCACGGGCTATGAAAATCATAGACCCTCATGGGTCCACTCCATAGAAGCAGTGCGATTCCCATTGCTGTGAGGTGGTGGAGAAATTCTCCATCAACACACATCCTATGATCAAACCAGTGATGTTCCATGACAACTGTTTTAACAGCCCATCCAACTGCATCACAGGCACATGTTATGCAAGCCCCGCTCTGGGTGCAGCTCCAGGAAGGCCTGGCCATGGCGGTCAGTCCAGGCCTGTGACGACGCAATCCCTGAAAGCGCCTCCTGACTCCTGGCCATGTCCTGGTGGCTTCTGGTTGCTCTCTTTTGTGGCTTATGGGTGTTGGTCTTTGGTGGCGTCCAGTGGCTGTTTTAGAGGAAGGCGCCAGGCGCAGACCCTGCCCCCCGTGAACCACGAAATCTGAAAAAAAGAAAGAGCGGACCCTTTGCATAGCCAAAGGTGAGGCGTGTATTGTGGAAATGTGCTTTTAAGTCTGCCTGTTTGATGCTAATGTTGAACCTAATGCACACAATAAATGTACTGTATGTATTGTGTATTTATGTGGTGTATATATTTATATATACTGAAAAGCAGCGCGAGTTTTTGGACATCGTTGACTTCACCCACCCTAATGTGCATGTGAGATGGCAATTCGTTGGAATGTGCGAAGCCTTTCACACAGCCTCAACTTTTGCCGTGCCTCTTGCAGGTCTTCGACGTCAAGGGCCTGCCCCTGCATGATGCTCTTCACCAGCTGACGGCTCAGATGTGGGACCTCCTCTCTTTCCTCGGCCAGGTGTTCCAACATGGGCAGTCTTCACCTTCCGGACACTTACTGTAAGACGCCACTCTGCCTTTCGAAGTGAGTTTACATTTCAATCCCACCCTTGGCCAAGACACCTGCTTTTCAGCTGCAGCTTCATGCCTAGAAAGTTGGGATGCAATACAATTATAGAATCATAGAAGAATGCAGAATTCAAGCAGCTTCGCAACTCATCACACGTGCTGACAAGCCTGCAGAAGGCCAGAATCTGATGCAATATCTGATACATATCTGCGCATTCATGTTCTTGCACGCTTGGGGGCACAAAGCATCAAGTATGTAAAATGCAATTAAAAAGCTGTAAGCCAAGCCCGCACTTGTACCAACATTAAATTGATCTCCATCCACCACTTCATCCAACACTTTGTTTGATCCCTCAAGCAGCTTTGGCCCAGTGACTGCAGGTCACTATCCAGGGGCCAATTGTGCCAAAGGTCGCCGTCCAGGGGCATTGTGCCCACCTTTGTTGTGCTTGAACATGAAACTAACAAGGAGGACAGGGAAAAAAAAACGCGCTTGTTCCCAAATGCAGGGTTCCAAAGCAAGGGTAAGTCACCTCAACTCGCCATGAATGATACTCATTGCCCCTCACTCGCCCTAATACAACTCCGAGTGCCTGTCTAAATGCAGCAACTGAGCTACAGGCTTGCGGAGGTTGTGCATCTGTGAATTGGTCTAATTATAAGTTTCGCCCCCCAGAAAGTCTCGGAACCAAATCATTAACGCTCAAACGCTAGGCTTCTTCCAGGAAGCTCACCCCACCCGGGTGGGGGTGGGGGGAAGCTTTCTGGGAAAATGCCTGAGCCCTTCTGCATCCGATCGGTCGTAGCTTCCTAGTGGCAGCTAGCAGCTTACCGACCTGGAACCCTGCTCCTCAAATCCCATCATCCTGAGCCCAAACAGGTACAGCCTCCCCCCCGGCTTATAAAAAAGATGTCTGATGTGTTTAAAGAAAATTAAGGACAAATCAAGCATAACTGTTGGCATCTGGGTCACTTCACTCCCTGAAGCCTTCGACGCTTGGCTTCGTTTGGGCGTCATCTGCTCGCTGAGAGTGTCTGCTTCCTGGCCGCATCGTGCAAACAAGCCGTGCGCAAACAGCGGAGGAACGTGACATGTCCCGAACCACAGGAAGAACCACGGTCTCCGACTCGTCCGACTTCAGCGCCCGCCCAACCCATTCAGCCTCCGGTGCTGTGGGCTTCACAGGATCAGCACCGACATCACTGCCCGAAAGGCGGACATTTTGCAGGACCTTCTCTTTGTGCAAGTGCAGGTCCTGCCAACCCCGCTCTCCAAAGCAAAGGTGTGGGCTGGAGTTGGTCCCAATGGTCTTCCGCACCAAGACCACCTAGAAAACCAATGTCAATCACTCCGGCAAGCAGGCCGTGCCCCAGGTAGTTCTAACTGATCCCGTTCGAGTTCGAGTTCAAGTTCGAGTTCGATGCGCGAGATTGCGTGGATCGAGCGAGAGGGGGGTGGACCAGTTCGAGTTCGAG